GCCTCTGCACCACAGCCGCCCCTAATACGGCCATAATAATTGTGTAGTAAAAATCTGACTGCGTATCAGTAGTAGTAGTAGTAGTAGTAGTAGTAGTTAGCTAAAGTGTTCCATTTACCACATACAGTAGACATATGTAGTATAATACACTGTGGCCACCTTCTCAGCTATAGTCTGAGCTGGAATAGTGTTTTTTTTATTTTTTATTTCTTTGCCCTACTGAGCTAGGACAGCTGAAGACTAACAGGAAGGAGAGAGGGAATGACTCATAGTAAAGGGCCACAGGTCGGACTCGAACCTGTGGCCGCTGCAGCAGGGACTCTAGCTGGGCGTCCCAGAGCTGGAGTTGGTGTCAGCACCTGTGTCTGTTAAACCTGACTTCTTCTTGGGTACTGTGGGTCTTCACTGGGAACAAGGGGTGTGTCATTACAGCTCACTATTACTGAATCCATTCACTCTGATGGTGTCCGCAAACACAGTACTCATCCAGACCTCTGGAGCACACTATATGACAGCTTAACACTGACTGTATGACAGCTCGCCAATTGGCTTCACAGTGGGGTTGAATTTGGTGTGTTACATCATAGCTGACATCAGACCAATAATATCTGCATCTAGTGGTAAGTGAGAGCATGTGTGTTTTTTATATATCAGTTTACTTGCTATTTATCCTCACGGAGACACAGACGTTCCACTCTCAACTTTTATTACAAACCAAAAATTCTTTTACATTTATGAAGAAACGTGTGTGTGTACAGTGTGAGTGAGTCTGGTTTCATCAGTACAGTGTGTGCGTCTCGGTCTAATAGCTCTTGGTGGTCTCGTATGCGTCTGGGAACGGGAGGCTGACGTATCCGCTTCCGGCAACGAGAGGCAGGATTCCGGCGTTGGGAACGACGTTCCACGACAGTGTCAGAGTGATGTTCTTGTTGGCCCTGGAGACGAGAAATGACAGTTAGCCGATCACAAACTTATAGTGTAGATAACTCCTAAATTAACAGTCACTAGAAGCACATTCATGGCCGTTTGTAAAAGTTTGTGGCCTACTGTGTTACTATTAGCAGAGTAGCGGTTCCTGGAGAGGCTATCTCAGTCCGCTGTCTGTGGTAAGCTGGTGTCAGTGGCTCCGGCTACGTAGCAGACCACAAGCGTGCAGAGAGGATGACTTTTATAGCAAGTCATTGGGGGCTGGTTGGTGATCAGCCAGTAGCGAAATTTCATCGCAATAGCCGAGTTTCAACCTGTAGAAGGCGGACGCTGTGCATTCTTATAGCATAATATGTAGAATTCAAATACTTTGCATTCAAATGTCCAGATTTGAGAAGGTTTTTTAATGACTCACTAGCTTCAAAGAGGCACAACGGCCGTTTTACTCATGAAGTTCATGAGTTTACTTGTCATGAGGAGTACAGCTCAGACTATGAAAACGGAAGCGTCTGTCTCTGATGATATCATAATGCTGTCATCAGGGTTCTATACACTAATGATATGGCAGCCCATACAGTGAATTTCTGAGCTTTTCTATGTAGATGATGCACCAATATGACTCAAAGGTTTTATATAGTGCTTTAAGAGGTACTCAAAGGCAAAGATAGTGGCATTATAGTTATATGTGAAATGTAGTGAAGCAGAAATAACGTACCACCACTTTATTCATGGTGCCAAAAGATTAAAGCAGTATGATTTGGGTGTTTGACAGTTTATTTAGCGCGACTGCCAGCTCAAACTTCTATTAGGACATGAGACAAATCAATACCTAATGGTCAGATTGCCACCAAATGTACAGTGAATGCAGCGTGTGTGTCTAACCTGAGTCCATTGCCGTCATCGAAGAAGAAGTATTTGGACTTCATGTCTCTGAAGTTCAGTTTGGTGTTTTCACCTCGAAGGACAATCTTGTCCCACAGCACCACCTGGTTCAGAGACTGACACACACACACATTATTTTCACTCCCAGTATGTGTGTCACTCCAGGTCCATTCATCAAAAGAGCTGTAAATGAGTTAGCTCATTTTCATACATTTATTAAATGAATATGTATTACATACTGTACTGTATTGCATATAGCTTCATTAAGTACACCTGTAACCTCTAATGCAACACAATGCAGCAGCTCAACCATGAATTCTGCTCTTACAAAGACAATAATGATCACTTTGGATTGACGCAGGGGTTCATCAGCTGTTCATTATTGAGGTTGTAGTGTGCAGTGGTGCTGCGCTATATCTAACAAATCTAATCCAAACCCGTGCCTGGGTAGCCTTAAATATATGTCATGTTATAACGTATACAATAGTGCAGATGAATGATGTCTCTTCTGACATACTGTACACGTGTGTGTGTGTGTGTGTGGATTATAACTTACATTGCTCTTTGTGGAGTACTCAGCAGACAGGTAGAGAAACAGTTGTTTTACGTTCCAGTCAAAAATTGGCTGCAAATGTAGGAAAAGTTGAGGAACAACAAGTGAACAGACACTGAAACTAAATTGCTTTGGAACCTCAAAGGTTGGTTCCCAGCTGGAACGCAAAAAACAGCAGGTTGTCCATGAGAACCAAAGGTTCCAAGAGTCTTCAACGGAGCTGGTTCAAGAACCAGAGCTGATTTGGTGGAAAAGAGGCCACATCAAAACAGAGTATAAACTAAAACTGTTCAGACAGAGACCGCTCTATTTCTGAGGGACTTCTGCAGAAAGTGAACTGCAACTAAAATAAGATCTTTCTTCATTTTGAGTAGCAAAGGATATCAGCTGAGAGGTCAAAGGTGATGAAGCCTAGATCACTGCGCTCCCTGGGTCCTGTGAAGTCGTCAACGTTCTTCCTGTTAAACAGGGAGAGAGAAGGAAGGATGAAGTGATGGAGGAAACAGAAAGAGGGACACATTTGAGGACCACCAACCTAAAGCGCAAGTTAAACAACTGCTGGTGAATACATTTTAAAAAAGCTGCAGGACACATCAAATATCAATACAAAAGAAAGACAGTGGATTGTGAGTCTTACTCCCAGGGCATCAAATACAGTGTTGGGACTGTGGGATTAAGATCAGCTATCTTCAAACCTTAAGCATTTCTATATCCTTCTTGGCTCTGATTGGTTGGATTCTTGTAAATACCA